GGAGACTTCTTTCTAATCCCTCCATAGAAATTGCCTATATTAACCAATCCTTTTGTGAGTCCTTGTAATAAGATAGATACAACAGATATTTCATGCAATCTAATGTTATCTGAACAATGATAATAGTGTTAAAGCAAAAGTACATGCTCAGATATAGCACCCAATCTCGTTGTGAATAATTCTATTAACTTTTGAAGTGCTTTAAGTATATACTATAGATTTGAAAAATTGGCATGTCTATATATTAGTATGAAGCGGCATCAGTGTCTTGGTATTTCCTGGTGAGAAACTGTAATGATTTGGAGTTATGGTTTACCTTCATGTATAGATCTATGTCTGGTTCAGGGATTATTCCTTCTTGTTTCTCCCTTCTACTGACTTCCTTCATAATTTCTTTAAAAACCGAGAAGTTTGATGTCAAGATAACTTTTTCGATAGTCTAAAATAGTTTTCCATGGATATTATGACCTTACCTGCCCGACATCCAACACCTTGGAACCGTGCTGAGAAATCTAATGTCTCTCTTACCGTCATCTCAGGGATGTGCAAGTCATGTTGGCTTACATAACTTGATGTTTTCTCTGGAACAAACTCCTCAAATTTGAAGCCATTGTAACAAATTTCTCCTGTAGCCTATGGAAAGAAGTTTTTATTTGTCAAAGGTTACATATTTATACCATATGCTAATATGCATGAATTACCAAAGTGGTATGAAGATGAAAAGACTATAGAACACAAACATGGGTGATATGCTATGCTAACTAGGTAAGAAAATGCGAGACCAACATATTTTCCTGGAGAACCTGTCTTATTTGAACAGCCTCATAGATATATTCAGAAACATAGACAATCAAGTGCTGACTCTGTGAGAAATTAAAATTTGATGGGCAAAGTATGAGGTACAATGATAATCTATTGACATACCCATCACTCTTTACATATCAATCTATTTCAGCAAAGAAAACTTTAAAGTGTGTTTCCTTTTTATTTAGAAACTTTTGATTTTTTTATTTAATGAGCTAGAATTGATCATAGGTAGGAATGACAAAATTCATAGAGGGTGAGACTTAAAGAAATAAATGTATGGATAGAAGACCACTTCTATTGCTTCATAAGTACAAATATATGGTGATTGGTAAGTGTGAACCTTATTGAGTTTGTGGCTTTCAGGATTGCTCAAGTTAATCGGAGTTACAATCTTTGAGGAGCACTAGTCATGGCAAAGAGAAAGAAAACATATTTCTCCATCTCTATAAGTTATATGACTTTAAGATAAAAGAAAGGGAAGAAACCTTTAGAGACTTGTCTAATTTCCCTGCCAATGCCAGCAAAAATGTAGTTTTTCCACATCCTGGAGGTCCCAGTAGGAGAGTCATCCTGTAATACAGAGTCCAAGAAAACTTCATATTTGAAGACAAAACAAAAAACATGACTAATATCTTGCTTTTCAAGTATAGATAACTTAGAATATTGGTACAGGCCATCCGTAGAGTTGCTCATAGAAAGGCTTACGTTTCTTAGAAAATGAGCCTATGTTGTAATTTTTGAGTTTAAAAAGAAGAATCCTTAAAAACTTTCCTGGATGGCTTGATAATCCCACTTATATCTTTTAGGATGCTTATCTTCGTTCTTTCAGCTTTCAGTCCTGTTACCTTCGTGAGACCCTGTCCAATAAAAGAAGTTTTACCGTAGAAAAGTAATTTTCTCTAGTTTCACTACCAAAAGGAAAAACTATAAGAAAGGAATTCCCAGTGCCACAATTTTCAAACAATATATTGCTTGGGAGCACATCGTACCAGTAAAATGCCTTTGACAGAATTCCATAAAGTGGGTAGAGGCTTCCCTTGGACTACTTCACATTCTGCTTCCACACACAAATTCTTATATCGTACTTCTATCGTTGGCAATTTGACATTTACCCTGTAGAATACTCTCTTTTTTGAGACACACCAGATCCATTACTGAGGAAAAGATATTTATTACTGCACAATTTAGAATCATCTGGTATACAATTTCTTGGTTGTATGTATGCGCATACTTATTTTTGCATGTACGATATTTCTGCAGGTTTATATTTTGGATAGTGCATGTAATAGATTATAATATAGCGTACTATGTCGCTGTAGTTGACATTACAAGGAACTACAACTGACCTGTCTATCCTTCCTCTTAGTTTTTGTAACAGGCGGAGGTTGTCATTCTCAATGTGCTTGATGAGCTTCTCAACAAACAACCGCCTCTCTAGAGCTCCGAGCTTGGCAACATCAACTACCTTCTTCTCCTTTTGTTCTTCATCACCACTTACAGTTTGATCAAGAACCGATGTTCTCATCCTCCTTACTGTGGATAGCCTCTCAATTGCTGCCCACTTCAGCTCATACTCATCATCTCTGTCTCTTTCAGAGCCAAAGCTGGAAGTACTGTTTCTATTTCTTTTCTGGATTAAACCTGAGTGAATTCAAATATATTTTAGTCCGAGTGTTCAAAGTAATTTAAGAACATTGGCCAAAGTTAGTAGCATCTAGCAAAATGGTTACCTTCCTGAAGGAATTCGGCTTCATCCTTTCTTCTGGACATCTAATCCACATTCCTCAAAAAAATTAAGAGTATCAACTGCGAATGACCATGGTATATAATCTTGCCTTCCCCATCAAGATGAACATCATCAAAGAGACATAGGTCTCAGCGGCTGAGAGAAGTAAACACCACAATGGCTTCTGTAATGTGAGCCTAACTGCCTGAAGGACAAAGGCAACAATTGGAATGTTGCCCTGAAAGCTATCTAGTCCATTGATATTTCATCCATAAATTAGAAGCCTTGGTTGTCCCACAATCATCTCACCTAGAAGGCTCAATTTGGAAGTAGTAATAACAAAGCATAAGTAGTTACAATGCATTTGCGTCCACGTACATGAAATAGCTTGCATGTATAACTATACATATACATGCACTGCATATGCGTGCAAGCTTTAGCTATTCAAGAACCAATAGTTTCTTGCATCGCTCGCGTAAGTGCACATGTACCAAGTGGACATAGCCTAGTCACAATATGGAGTACCAAAAATGTTAAGACCCAAGAAAATGCTCAGTTACGAAAGCAGAAAAACTAAACCTCACGAAGTAGAATAAATTATAGCCGGGTAGGCCGACATGGACAAAGAATACTCCAAAAGTTAGCAAAGAATTTGAACAGTAATCGAACATGCCATGGACAGCAGTTTTGAAAGTAGCAAGTATGTCTATATGGATTGCCCTTAGGTTAGATGTAAGTTTTGAAAATGTTAATAGAATTATTTCAATTCATGCCAACTTCTGCTTTTCTTATCAGTAACGCTTGTGCTTGTACCATGCAATACGCCCACAGCATTTGTTTCCTTAGCGTTCATAGTACCGTTAGTCAATCTTTGCTTCTGAGCCACCTGAGATACCTACTGCTCATGGCATCCCTACCATGTGTAATCCGCACAGATGTCCAATCCATTATCTGAAAGCAAACACATTTCAAAACCCCCCCCCCCCCCCTGATCTTAGCAAAGTTAAGGTTGAGGGAACTACTATGTTTTGCCTTTATGTAGAACCCTGAGTTTCAATTTTCTTCTACCTTTAGCTACATTAATCTGTTTGCTGAGACTTTTTCTAATCCCTCCATAGAAAATTGCCTAATTAAAAAACCAATCCTTTTGTAGTCCCTTGCTAATAAGATTAGCATTACAACAATATTTCATGCCAATCTAATGTTATCCTGCAATCAATATAACTAAGTGTTAAACAAAAGTACATGCTCAGATATAGCACCCAATCTCGCTTGTTGAAAGAATCTCTATTAACTTTGAACTGCCTTATAACATCATACTATTAATAAAAATTGCAGTCTATATTATTTAGTATGGAAGCGCGATCAGTGCTTTGGTATTTCCTGTGAGAAACTGTAATGATTAGTTATGTTTACCTTCATGTATAAGCCATCTAAATGTCTTGCCGTTCAGGATATTCCTTCTTGTTCTCCCTTCTACTGACTTCCTTCATAATTTCTTTAAAAACGAGAAGTTTGATTCCAGATAACTTTTTCGATATCTAAAATATTTCATAGGATATTATTGACCTTACCTGCCGACATCCAACACCTTGGAACCTGAAACCTGAGAAAATCTAAGTCTCTCTTTATCGTCATCTCAGGAGTGCAAGTTCATGTGGCCTTACATAACTTTGAGCTTTTCTTGGAACAAACTCCTCAAAATTTGAAGCCATTGTTTTCTAACAAATTTCCCTGTAGCCTATGCGAAAAGTTTTTAATTGGGCTCAAAGCTACCAGTATTTAACCATAGCGCTAATATGCCATGAAATTACCCAAAGTGGCATAGAAGATGAAAAGACTATTAAACACAAACATGGGATATGCTATGCAAACTAGGTAACAGAAAATGCGAGGACAAACATATTTTCCCTGCGGAGAGGGGGGGGGGGGGGGGGGGGCGGGGACCTGTCTTATTGAACAGCCTCATAGATATATCAGAAACATAGACAATCAAGTGCTGACTCCCCCACCCCCCTCCTTCCTATGTGAGAAATTAAAATTGATGCGCAAAGTATGAGGTACAATGATAAATCTATTGACATACCCATCACTTTTTCTTTACATACAAAATCTATTTACAGCAAAGAAAACTTTAAAGTGTTTTCCTTTTATTTAGCAAACTTTTCATTTTTTTAGTTAATGAGCTAGAATTGATCAAGCTAGAAGACAAAATTCATAGAGGTGAGTGAGACTATAAAGAAATAACATGTATGATAGAGACACTTCTATTTGCCCTTCATAAGCTACAAATATATGGTGATGTAAAGTTGTGAAACCTTATTGAGTTTGCTTTCAGGTTGCTCAAGGTAATCGAGCTTACAATCTTTGAAGGCAGCACTATCATGGCAAAGAGAAAGAAAACATGATTTCTCCATCTTCTATAATTCATATGACTTAAAGAAAAGAAACGGAGAAACCTTTAGAGACCTTGTCTAATTCACCTCCGAATCCAGCAAAAAATGTAGTCTTTCCACATCCTGGAGGTCCCTAGTAGGAGAGTCATCCTGCCTAATAACAGAGCTCCAAGAAAACTTCATATTTGAGACAAAACAAAAAACAGCTCTAATATCTGCTTTTCAATTATAGAATAACTTAGTAATATGACAGCGCCATCCGTAGATTGCTCATAGAAAGCTTACGGCTTCTTAGCAAAATGCCCAGCCTATTTGTACATTTTGAGTTTTAAAAAAAAGGAATCCTTAAAAAACTTTCCTGCGACCATGGCTTGATAATCCCACTTATATCTTTTAGCGATGCTATATCTTCGTCTTTCAGCTTTTCATCCTGCTTACCTTCGTGAGACCCTGCTCCAATAAAAGAAGTTCTTACCGTAGAAAAGTAATTTTCTCTAGTTTCATCTACAAAAGCCGAAAACTATAAGAAACGAATTCCCAGATGCCACAATTTTCAAACAATCATATTGCTTGCGCAGCACATACGTACCAGTAAAATGAGCCTTGGACAGAATTCCATAAAGTGGTAGCAGGCTTCCTTGGCACTACTTCACATTCGCTCCACACACAAAGTCTATATATATCGTACTCTACGTTCAATTTGACGATTATACCTGCATTAGAATACTCTGCTTTTTTGAAAGACACCACCAGTCCATTTACTGAGGAAAAATATTTATTACTGCCACAATGTAGCAAATCATCTGGTATAACAATTTCTTCGGTTGTATGTATGCCCCCGCCAATACTTATTTTTGCATGCCACGATATTTTCTGCAGGTTTTATATTTATGCGCATAGTGCATGTAATAGATTATAAATATAGCTACTATAGTCGCTGTAGTTGACATTACAAGAACTTACAACTGACCTAGTCTATCCTCCTCCCTTAGTTTTGTAACAGGCGGGCAGTATGTCATCTTCTCAATCGCTGCCGTGCAATCGAGCTTCATCAACAAACAACCGCCTCTCTAGCAGCCTCCGAGCTTGCACATCAACTACCTTCTTCTACCTCTTGGTCTTCATCACCACTTACAGTTTGATCAAACACCTATCTCTATCTTCTCTTACTTGAGCCTCTCAATTGCTGCCCACTTCAGCTCATACTCATCATCTCTGTCTCTTTCAAGAGCCAAAGCTGCGAATGTCCTTTGCAGAAATTGAACTAAAGAGAACGAATCGATTACCATATCCTCCCTCTTTCGAGCCTCAAAGCTTAGGAAATTAGGTTGTTGTCTACGGATCGATGCCATTCCTCAAGTATAGAAGATGCTTATCCGTCTAGAAGAGAAGCTATATAAAAGCAAACTAAGCGAGCCTACTATGCTACTACGACTAAGGTTCCCATCACCTGCATATGGAAAAGACTTGTCTTCTATCAAAACTCTAATTTCACCCACATGTAGCAAAATTAGGGAGATATCTATAATAGGCGTATATGAGCCTAATATTCGAAGTTGCATGCGACCACCTCTACTCTTGTCAATCCCAATTTTTAGCTTATCTATATATATATATCTAATTTAGCATTGCGAATTAGCCTCCATTCTATTCTCGCGAAGGAAAAACAAGGAACCTGCGAAGCCTGCACTTTTAACTTGACAGATTACATTGTTTTTGCGTCAGGATTTATTCTCATACGACCCCTCAGGCAACTAAATGTCTGCTGATTACTGGTGTATCTATATATCTATATCTGAATATTACCCTCTCTCATTGACTTCGAAATGCTTGCAAAATCTTTCAGCGCTGTCGTTGCAGCTTCTACGCACCAGAATCGATCATTGAAAAGCGAAGTTTCCCATTTTGCTCGCCCTTAATTGGAACTCGTCAAACACTAGCATTTTGTCAAACCAATTCTGCGTATTCCTACAGTTCATGGGCTTGTTTCTTTCACTGAAAACTAATGCAGATGTTTGCCATCTCTGAAGGTTAGTATGCAAGGCATAGCAAGTCTCGCTAAATTGCTATGTTTACTTATCTTTGTCTTCTTGAATTCCTTACGCAACTTGCTTGCTTATACTCTTACATATGAAGTACCTCCTGCGTTAAATATTGATTGTTCTTTTGTGTTACTCTCTGTTGAGTTTGCTTACTCTTGGAAACGAAGTTTCATGTTACAGGAAGCTACCCAGTTTCTCTTTTTTACTTTTGTTTTTCTTCATCCGTTCACCTCATTTTATATTTCTATTGTTATTTGATTGATCGCTCGTACCACAGGAAAGTACTGATTATAGGCTTTTTGGATAAATCCCAATTTTCTCTGCACATGAATATTCTATCATAACTCTGAATTACCAATTCGACGTTGCAGTCGGTTTGTCAATCAAATCAAAACGAATTGTCACTGCTTTTATTTCGTCCTCCAAAATTTCCGAACTTCCCTATATTTTAATGGATCTATATTACCTATATAATCTTGTCATTTCTGTAAATCACATTCTCGTCATTAAATATCTCATTGGTTTATGGCCATATATTGCTAGTTTATGCTGGACTCTACCTCCATAATTTGACTATTTCAACTACAATACCAAGGTTGTCATCATTGCATACGAAACTAATTTATGCCATAATCTAAATTCTCTAATTTCTTTTGAACCTATAAACCCACAAACTTTTTTTTGTTGTTAGAGCAAAATCACTAATTGTATAGCGCATATAATATCTTATGTAATAACTAAAAAAAATTCATCATGAATATCAGTGGACTTTAACCCATAATTTTGGTCGTTTCTGATCAAATCACAAGTTGTTATTGCATGTAGAATATTTTATGCATATTTCTAAATTCTTTAATTTAATTTCTATGAACTATAACCTAATATTTTGGCCGCTTTCGACCAAGTCATTTGTTGTCATGTTGCATAGAAGTTTTTTGCGTACTCAAAAATTCTCAAGTTTTTGTGTATTATGACCCATAATTTTGGTTTTTCCGGTCAAATCGCAAATTATCAACCCATATTTAAATTTTTATTTGTATTCCCAAATTCCCTAATTTCTATGGGTTATAACTCATTATTTTGACCATTTTTGACAAATAAAAAGTCTTCATGCATCGAATATTTCAGCATACTTCCAACTTCCTAATTTTTGTGAATTATAACATACAATATTGGTTATTTTGTACCAACTCATAAGTTGTCTTCATGCATAGAATATTTTATGTCTACTTGCTTACCCAAAAATAAGTTTTATGTGCACTGAAAATTCCTAAATTTCAGTAGATTAACCCATGATTTTGGTCTTTTTTTAGCAAATCATAACTTGTCGCACATAGAATATTTTATGCATTACTCCAAATTTGCCAATTGTTGTGAACTATAACGCATAATTTAGACTGTTTTCAACCAAATTATAAGTTATCTCCTGCATAGTATATTTTTTGTGTACTCCAAAGTTCCCTAATTTCTATAGATTATAATTATAGTTATTTTCGGTTAACTTTTGATCAACCCACAAAATCATCTCACGATAACCATCTTACACATACTCTCTATAATTTTTTATATTTGTATGCGACTAGATTCCATGATTTTGATCCAAGGATGTTCTGAACATTTCTTTGATATTGTTTTCTCAATATAATAAAGCTGTTGGGGAAAAATTTTCAGTATTTGAGCTGTTTTTCTTTCTTTGTCAGCATTTTGCAAATTGTATATTGGAACTGGGCTTAGGCCGCTTCTTACAAATAGGCTTAATAGTGATAATTGCTTTTGCCACCAATCTTAACTGCGGATGCAATAACTTATGATATTCTTGCATCTCAATGTGCGACTTATTACTAAATTCTAAGTCCTATTCCTACTCAAAGTTTTAAGTTCCGCCCATTATTCTCCTGCGATCAATGCTATTGATATCGTCATATTCATTATTTCATGCAAACTTTCGGTTAAAAACGTGAGATTATTGATAAACTAATTACACTTTTCTCATAAAAGTAATTGCTTACATTGTCTTTCCTATTTGTTTCCAGCAAAAGTCGCAGAAAATATCTACTAGTATGTGATGATATATGAAGATCATTGCGGACCAGGCTTATAATGTTATAGGACTTTCTTCCAGTCTATGACTTTCTAATGGACCAGCTTCCGAGAGGTCAATGCTTTGACACTGCACCCATAGATTTTGTGGTGAAAACGTTTCTGTAGGGATAATCAGAGGTCAGGTTGAATCGCTACGGTATGCACTCCAGTTGTCTGACTATGCTCTTTCGTTGTTCCTGGATCGAATGTGATAAGAAAGCAGAGAAACCTAATGTAACTTTGTATATTATTTTGCTTTATCAGCAGCAATTTTAGTCATTCCTGTGGTGATATCTTTATTCTTCATGTTATGATGATCAGACACCTGCATTCTTTATGCTAGAATTTCAATTTTATACCCTTTTGTACTAGAGGATATCAGATAAGCTCCCATCCATATATAAATAACTAAACTCACCTTGGTAAAATTGGCGGATTCTCTATGAAATTTTTTGCTGCAAAAATTATGCCAAGTTTGCTCTCAACAGATGAAGATGTATATTGTCCAACATCCCATCGTTGCTGGGGATTGTAGTTATCTTATTCCTTCGTGTCGGTATCCCTGGTATTCCAGAAATGCCCTGGCAAAATAAGGAGCATTCTTCATTTAGGCAGTGTTTATTGGATGGCCAACTAATCGAGTCAAAGAAAATGAGCACTTTTCATTTAGGCGGTCTTTTAACAAGAGAGCAAATGAAAAGTGCTCCTTATTTGCATATATTGAATTTTCCCCCAAGTATTTGGGAAAAAAATCCTTTTCGAGTGCATAGAATATTTTTTAAAACTTGTCATCCTGCATAGAATAGTTTGTGTGCTCCAAAATTTCCGTATTTCTATGGACTATAATGATTTTAGTTGCTTTCGATAAAATCACAAATTACCGTCCTATTTTATGCGTACCCTGATTACTATGACGATAACCTGTAATTTTAATCATTTTCGACTAAATCACAAGTTGTCATCACTCATTAAATATTTTATGTGCTTCCAAATTCCTATTTTTTTGTTGACTATAAACCATGATTTTGGTCATTTTCGACTAAATCATAAATTATCACCCACATAGAGCATTTAATGCATACTCTAAATTTTTGGAATCCACGTGCATTATGACCCATGATTTTGGCTCTTTTAGATCAAATCAAATTGTCATTCCACATAGAATATTTTATGTGTAATCCAAAATTTTAGAACACTAGTTGTTGTTTGATATTGAATAGTTTACTCATACTTCTGGAATTCTCAAATCTCTGTGGAATATAATTATTGATTTTGGTCATTTTTATAAAACTACAATTCGCATTCTCACATATAGTATTTTATGCGCACTTCAAAATTCTATGAATTTCTATACAAATACATGTGCATTCTTCCAAATTCGTAAATTTCTATAAACTATAATTAATGATTTTGGCTATTTTCGACCAAATCACAAATTGTTGTCTCACATAGAATATTTAGTGCATACTATAAAATTTTGGAATTTATGTGGACTATAATCCATGATTTCAGTTGTTTTCAACCAAATCCTAAGTTGGTTTTCCATTTAGGGAATGTTTGGTTGGCTAAAAAAATAAGAAAATCAAAAAAATAAAACATATTTTCTATAATAGGTTCTTCTCTTGTGTTTGGTTCACTTCTTAAAAGTAAGAAATGAGATGAGATGAGATGAGTTATCATCATATTATTGGATGATGTGGGTGATATTTTAAGAAACAAATTTTATGACTTGTTTTGAGGTTGTTTGGTTGACTAAAAAAACAAGAAAATCAATTATAAGGAATCGATATTTTATAATAGGTTTTTTTCTTGTGTTTGGTTCATTCTTAAAACTAAGGAAAAAGATGAGATGAGATGAGTTGTCATTATATTATTGGATGATGTGACTCATTTAGGGAAACACATTTCATGTTTTTTTAAGGAAATGGATGGAAATTAAATTTTAATGAGATGAGATGAGTTATCACCATATTATCGGATGATGTGACTCATTTTTAAAGATGAGATGAGATGAGATAGATGATGTGACCCATTTCTTGTGTTTGGTTCATTTTTAAAAGTAAGAAAGGAGATGAGATGAGATGAGTTGTCACCATATTATTAGATAATGTGGGTGATTTTTAAGGATGGAAATGGATGGAAATCAACTTTTAATGGTTTCTAGGGTCCTATTTCCTTTTCTTTGATTTTAGGAAACCAACCAAACAAGCCCTTATATTACTTAATGC